TAGTAGCCAGGTTAGAAAAGGGAACAGGAGTAATTAATTCTGATACTATATTTTATTCAAGTCTATATATCCAAATATTTTAATTTCAACATATAATTGATGTAAAAATTATTAATGAGACACTTCATTTTTTAAAAAATACAGAGTCTTTGAAATTCAGTGTATATTTTACACGTAACAGCACATCTCAGTTGGGACCAGCCCCATTTCAAGTGTTTAATATGACTAGTGACCACCGTGTTGGGTAGCGTGTATTTAGAATCTATGTCTCTTTTGCTGAACTTGAGATTTTGAAGCAGGCGAAATTAAACTCATCTTCCTATGAGTGTATGGAGGTTTTCTTTGAGACGGAATTTGGAGGAAAGGCTCTGGTGAGGACGACAAGGGGTGCATGTGCCTTCCTTACCCACAAGTCTGTAAACATGGGCCCTTAGGCTAACTGAAACCATACTCGGCGCGCTTTGCTTGTTAATGGGGAAAGGTGCATGTGTAGCCGTAAGATGGAAAATAATGAACATGACTATTATGAACCATATTCCTAGTGAAATCAGATGGCATTCTCCCATCATTCTGTTTAAAAGAGGTTTTCACTGAAGTCAGTATGAAAAACCCGAGTCTCTTCCCCCCAAAAATCAAAGTAGGAGAATCAGTCGATTCTTGGGTGAGTCTTTAAGGTATATATGAAAAGAACGAGGAAGAGGGCTTTTTTTTTTTTTTTAGGTGGTGGTTGTTTTTTGAGTCAGGGTCTCACTCTGCTGCCCAGGCTGGAGGACAGTGGCACACTCACAGCTCACAGCAGCCTTGACCTCTTAGGCTCAGGCAACCCTTTCTCCTCAGCCTCCCAAGTACTGGGACTACAGGCACGTGCCACCACACCCACCTGATTTTTTGATTTTTTTGTAGAGATAAGGTCTTATTGTGTTGCCCATGCTGGTCTTGAACTCCTGGGCTCAAGCAATCCTGTCTCAGTCTCCGAAAGTGGGATTCCAGGCATCAGCCACCGTGCCTGACCCAGGTAGAGGGTTTTAAGTCATCTTGGGGAACACACTGTGATGTTTACTACACCAAGGGATGTCCTGGACTCTGTGCTGCCTATGGTCTCACTGAATAAGCCGATGTTTCCTTCCTGTGGGATTTGGTGAGGCAGGCATGGGGTGCCCTGCCTTGGAATAAGGCACCCTGGCCACTCACCAGCTGCCCTCTGGTTCTGCACCCATCAGCACCCGCGATCGCTGCCTTTGGGTGAAGTTCTACTGTTGGCTTCACCACTGGACTCGTGTTTTGAGAATGGGGGTGACCTCTTGGCACATATGGCTGAATGAATAGGCCAGTGCTGGTGGGCAAAGGCTGGGTGCATTCTGTCCATGTGGAAGTTGAATTCAGCCTGGAGCTCCCAGGAGGCCATGACACACTGCTGTGCTGGTCTTGCTTTTATGGGCTACGGGGTGGGGAGTGTGGGAGTGAAAGGAAGGGAAGAAAAAGAGCAGGCTTCTTCGCTTGCCTCTGTGACCCGCCAGTTGGGTAGCCCTGGAGGACATCACCTCCTGGTTGTCCTCCTGGTCGTCATTTTTCGTCTGCAGTATGAGGGAGTGACACAGCTGTCACCAGGGCTTGTCGCTCTAACTTCCCCTACTTCTAATTATAAGGTTATTTTTCTGTCTGTTTCCCCCTTGGAATTGGGCAGTATAAACGAGAACATGAAACAGTTCACCCTCTTGCCGCGGGGTGGACAGCTTGGACCTTACCCTCCCTTTCTTGATGTCTTCCCACTGGCTTCCCATGACTAATCAAAAGGAGTGACCGGCCCTTCTTGTCTCTCTCTGCCCTTTGCAGAAGCCACAGTTTCCACTCTCACCTCTTAGGATGGTTGCTTTCTCCCCCAACAAGTTTTAAAAAAAATCTTATGGTACAAAATTCAAAAGATAAGGATGGATGTACAGTACATCTCTGTCTCCTAGCCTTACCTGTGTGAGCAACCAGTGATTGTGTACTTACTTGAATACACATACATACACATACATATTTATAAAGCCCACCAGGTATTTCTGAACCTATTTTTAAGAACAGACAGACAAGCAAAAACCCCTTGAGCTGTTCTATCATCTGTACATGAAGGCCTTCCTTTTTTAATAGTTGTATAGTACTCCATGAGTGGTTATCCTTAAAATACTTAACCAGCTTCCTCTTGATGGGCATTTAGGTTTCTCATCTTCTGCTGTTATTGAACATCCATCCATACATATTCTGCACAAGTTGGAGTATATTTGTAGAATAAAGTCCTAAGAGTGAAATTATTGGGCTGGGGTGGGGGGGCACATCTATCCTTTTGGTGACTGTCGCCTGATTGAATTCATAAAGATGACAGCCACTACTGGTCCATAAGAGGGCATGCTTCCCTACACTCTGGCCAGTATAAGGTATGATTTGACTTTCTGATCTCTGTGAATCTAAGAGGTTGCAATTGGTGTCTCTCAGGCGGGGTGAGGTGGCTCACGCATGTAATTCCAGCACTCTGGGAGGGCCGAGGTGGGAGGGTTGCCGGAGCTCAAGAGTTCAGCCTAGGCAACATAGTGAAACCTTAGCTCTACAAAAAATAAAAAGATTAGCCAGGCACGATGGCATGCGCCTGTAGTCCCAGCTTTGGGAGGCTGAGGTGGAAGAATCGCTTGAGTCCAGGAAGTCGAGGCTGCAGTGAGCCGTGGTTGTACCTTTGCACTCCAGCCTGGGCGACAGAGTGAGACCTTGACTCAAAGAAAGAAAATAAGAAAATGGTGCCTCAGTATAGTTGGTTTGCCTTTCTCTTACTGTGAGTGAGCATTTAGTTGTCAGTGAACTATGTTGTCTGCTCATTTTTCTAATGGGCCTTGTTTCTAACAGACTATCAGTTGCCCTAAAAGGGAAACACCACCCCCTTTTATAGAAACCTTCGTTGATTCTTTGCTTTGGGTAGAGTAAAAGTTTCAGCCCAAACCCTGCCTTTCTTTCCAGCCTCACATCCTGGTGTTCATACAGCTGTTCCCTGATGACACCCGCATTTCTTGCCTTCGCACCCCGTTGCCGCTGTCCTACGCCCAGTACCAGTCCCTCGCCTTCCTACCTGAAGAACTTCTCTTCAGCCCTCTAAAGCCCAACTGAAATGCCATTTCTTCCATAACACCTGTCCTGGACCCCACAGTCAGAGTTACCCCCTCCCTTGGGCTTGTTTGTAGTTTGACTAAAACACCAACCATATCCCTCCTGTGTTGCTGTTATTTATAGACATGGTTCTCCAGCACTAGATCTGGGGCCTTATCCACCCTTGCCTCTCTCAGAGCTCTAAGCCAGAATTAAACAAAGAAGTCCTTATTTCTGCTTTCCTTGGGGAAGACCAGAGTGACCTTTTTCTTTACAATTTAGTAAAATAGTCATAAGTCTGGGCCTGGTGGTTCACGCCTATAATCCCAACACTTTGAGAGGCTGAAGCGGGAGGACTGCTTGAGTCCAGGAGTTGGGGACCAGCCTGGGCAACATAGCGAGACTCTGTCCCTACAAAAAATAAAATAAATAAACTAGTCATAAAATAAAATTTAACATTTTAACTGCTTTTAAGCGTGCAATTCAGCAGTGTTAAGGAAATTCACAATGCTTTGTAACCATCACCACTTCCATCTCTGCATGATTTCATTACCCCAGATTGAAACTCTGGATCCATTAAACACCAGCTCCCCATACCCCCTTCCCCTGGATCCTGGCAACCCCTCTCCTTCTTTCTGTCTTTGTGAATGTGTCGAAGTGCCTCATAGAAGTGGATCATAGAATACCTTTTCTTTTGTGTCTAGCTTGTTTCTACTTTGAGTCATGTCTTCAAAGTTTGCCCCTACTGTAGCATATATCCGAATTTCATTCCTTTTTAGGGCTGAATAACCTTCCACTGCTCGTCTGTTCACTCATCCAGGGATGGACGCTTGGGTTGCTTGTAGTTATCATGAATGATGCCACTGTGAACATGGGTGTATACATATCTCTTCAACTCTTGCTTCATTCTCTTTTGACTCTATAGTCAGAGGTGGAATTGCTAGATCAGATCATGTGATCATTCTACATTTACGTTTTTTGAGGAACTGCCATGCTGCTTTCCATAGCAGTGGCACCACTGTACATTCTCACAGTGCACAAGGGTTCAGTGTCTCCATATCCTCACCAACACCTGCTATTTTCTATTGTGTAGTGTGTGTGTGTGTGTGTTTTAATAATAGCCATCCTTATTGATGTGCAGTGGTCCAAAGCGACCTTTTTCTACTGTGTTCTGGACACCTGAATCACAGTCATATTTGGGAGATCTCTGGGCACCCATGCATCAGCATCGCACGCTCAAAACATGACCTTGATTTCACAAATAGACAAGCACGCACACATAGCCTCATCCATGGAGAAAGAATCCAACAGCTCAGCCCAGGGTCTGAGATCACCCACGTGTGACTTGGAGCCGGAGAAACCTCCCTCTGGTCTCTTTGTCCAGGCTTGGAGCTCTCACGAGGAAAAAGGGCCAGGCCGGCATCCCTGTCACGTTCCCTCGAGGGCGCACCTTGCACACTTCTCCCTGCTTTGTCTTGGCAGCGTCTGACCCGCCCTTTGAAGTCAGGACAGTGGCTTGCAAGTGTCTGAAGCTGGGGTGTCTCTCTCATTCTAAGGCACCTTCAGTTGCGACGGGCTCAGTTGGGGATGAGCCTCTCCATTTTGGAAACCAGCTCCGGTGTGATGGCCTCATGGCTCAGACAGTCACTTTGTGATCAGCAAATGCACCTCAGTCTGGGGAGACAGTTTCATGTGGCCTCATCTTCACGAGCGTCTGTGTGTTGGTTTTGTTCCAGGCCTTCAGCAGTGATTTTGGTATCTTTTATCTCCCACGTCCATTGCTTTATGCCGATTGATATTTTACCTGGGCAAATAATGATTCACATAGCCGTGATGATGATGATGTTTAAATGGTGTCTCTTCCTTGTTTTTTCTTCCTTTTTCAGAATTTTGTGCCATCTCTAGGCAGGCAGACTTCCCTGACGACATCAGTGGTGCCCAAGGCTGTGCAGAGCGTGGCTTACAAAGACTTTATTTCCTTCACTGTCTTTGAAGGAAACGTGCGCAATGTGTCCGAGGTCTCGGTTGAGTATTTGTGCTCCCAGCCGTGTGTCGTCAATTTGGAAGCCGTTGTGTCCTCTGAGTTCAGAAGTAGCATCCCTGTGTACAAAAAGAGGTGGAAGAACGAGAAACATCTTCACACCAGCCGGACCCAAATAGTGCACGTGAGATTCCCAAGCATCATGGTGTACAGAGATGACTACTTCATCAGACACTCCATCTCCGTGTCTACCGTGATCCTGCGCGCCTGGATCACCCACCGGTACAGCGGCGGAGACTTCGATGTGAAATGGGAGGAAAACCCGCTGCATGCCGTGGCAAGGAATTACACTCTGCTGAAGACGGTCCCGCCTTTTGAGCGCCCTTTTAAAGATCATCAGGTGTGCCTTGAGTGGAACATGGGCTACCTTTGGAACCTGCAGGCAAACAGGATTCCACAGTGTCCCCTGGAAAATGGTAGGTCGCTGGTCTTGTGGGGCATTCGATTCTCATTTTGTTGGAGCCTGCATCGTATTAGGGAGGCAGGAGAGAAGGCTGATATTAGCTACAGGAAAGCCGAGGAAAATGAAGGGACACACTGAGCTTGTCATTTGGGACTTTGGGGACAAAAGGAGATAAATACAAAGAGGAGAGGAAGGGAGGGAGGAGAAAGATTAGGAGAGAATTGGACCCAAGATGAAAGGGAGAGACCGAGGGGGCATGGAAGGTAGACTTGGAGAGGCTTCCATCTGCTCTAGTTGGCAGGGACTGGTAAACAAGGACTGGAAAATCTTCTTCCCATCCCCCTCGCCCCCAAACCCCGAAAGCGTCCATTATTTTTAAGCAAACTGTTTTATTCTGGAGGAGATGAGAGCCCGCAGGGACCTGTGTAAGACAGGGAGGTTGTTTCACAGGATGATGACTCCTGGCTAGGTTGGACTCCTACTCTGCCACTGTCTGTGGAAACTGGGCACTCTCTTGAGCCTCAGTTTCTTATCTGTAAGATGGGATGATAAATAATTTTCCCTGAGCTGTGCTGTGAGGCTTAAATGAGATGGGATGGCTTAGCACATCAAAGTAGCTATGGTGATAGCAGAACCCACGCTGCATTTTATCCTAAATGCCAATGGTCACAGCCGCCGCAGGACCAATCGGGAAGCTCCTGTGCCCTCCTGCAGCCTCCCCTCAAGTTCTCTGCACTGGTCCAAGCAGCACCTTGCTCTGTGATGCCAAGTGCTTGCCTGTTCTTCTCCCGACCCAGCGGCGGGGAGCCAGCCTGAGCATGTGTCCAAGCAGTGTTTCCTACAGTGTGGCCCTGGGACCACTGTGACAGAATCACCCAGTGCTCTTCTTGCAAACACAGACTCCCAGGCCCTATCCTTTACCTACTCAGATTCTGTGGGGGCAGGGGGAAGCCCTGGAATCAGCATTTAAGCACATCCCTCATGACTCTGATGCCCCCTAGAACTTGAGAATCTCGGGGACAGGGACAGAGCTGGTGGGATTTTGGTCCTACAGTTATGACCAGATCCCCAGGCAGGCTTGGCAGACGGAAGAATCCCTGGGCCTGACCCTTCCCCAGGGCATGCCTGCCACCTCCTAGGCCTCAGCAAGACCGGTTGGGACAATGTGACTTAGACTTGTACTCTAAGTGTTTTCTCTAGCGATCAACTTCTTGTTACCTCTGGGATGTGACGTCTGTCAGGCTGTCTTTGGGGAAACACTGACTGTGGCAATTTCTTGGTGTTGCCCCAAGGCAACTCTGCATGTCATGAAAACCTAAAGGGCCTGTGTGAGCATATATTTTACTTGGTCAGAGGCCACTTGCCACAGAACTGACACATTTGACTCTTAAGAAACTATTTGGAAATAATTACAGATTCTCAGAAAGTTGCAGAAATGATAGAGAGAGTCCCGTGTGCCCTCTCCCTAGCTTACCCAGTGGTGACATCTTCCATAATTGTGGTATACAATCAGGCCAGGAGCAGGGCTCACACCTGTAATTCCAGCACTTTGGGAGTCTGAGGCAGGAGGATTGCATGAGCCCGGGAGTTTGAAACCATCCTGGGCCACATCTCTACAAAAAATTAAAATATTAGCCAGGTGTGGTGGCTCATGCCTATAGTTTCAGCTACTTGGAAGGCTGAGGCAGAAGCATCACCTGAACCTGGTTGAGGCTGTGGTAGCTGTGATCGAGGTCCATTGCACTCCAGCCTGGACGACAGAGACTCCTACTCAAAACACACACACACACACACACACACACACACACACACACACACACACACACACACACGCATATATACACACCGGGGAAGGAGTGTTGATTTCACACCACTCGCTCGGTTCCAGACCTTATTCAGATTTTTCCAGGTTTCACATGGACGTGTGTGTGTGTGTGTGTGTGTGTGTGTGTGTGTGTGTGTGTGGTTCTGTGCAATTTTATCCTCCGTTTTGTCTTAATAACTGTGTTTTGTGTCTGGCTTATTCCGCATCTGTGCAGTTCTTTAAATGAAAAGATGTGCAAAAGATGGAAGCAGATTCCCTTTCTGGGGGCAGGTGGGTAACTAAACCCCTGCCATAAGCCATGTCAGTTACCCTAAGGACCCATGCACGTCCCTCCTCCCAGCAGGGCCCGTGCTGGCCTCTGTCTGGAGCACCTTCCAGGAGCCACCTAATTTGCAGGGAGACGGGGGTGCAGGCATACGCCGCTACCGCTTTGCCCCTCCTTCGACTTCAGGGCTTAATGATTCCATCTCATGTTTGGCAAATCACGTATTTCTCATTGGAGGATGACTGAATCGCGAGCTGGAAGTTTCCGAGTGAAATCATCTGTGAGCTGACTCCGTTCTTAGGGCGCCTGAACATGCCCTTCAGATGTGACACGTCCTGCCTTCTTTTTGCTGTCCCTCCCTGTGTTTGTGAGGCTCAGGAATGACAAGTGGGACTTGTCTCCCTGCCTTCTCCCTGCCTTCTTCAGAGCATTGCTTGTGGAGTGAGAATTAAACCACAATGCAGAGAAAAGCCTTTTCTATGAGTGAAAGTCCCTAAAAATGGGGGTAGGAGGAGCTCCAGCCACCCTCAAAACCTGCTCTGGTCACATGACGGTGATTTGTTTACCAAAAAAAGGGAGTGTCTCCTCTCCCTCTCTTCATCTTATTTTACTTCGAGTCAGGGTCTCACTCTGTTGTCTAGGCTAGAGTGCGGGGGCATGATCTCAGCTTACCACAGCCTCGACCTCCTGTGCTGAAGAAATCCTCCCTCCTCAGCCTTCCAAGTCGCTGGGGCTATGGGTGTGTGCCACCACACCCAGATAATTTTTTGATTTTTTTGTAGAGACAGTGTTTGCTATGTTGCCTAAGCTGGTCTCAAACTTCTGGGCTCAAGCAGTCGTCCCTCCTCGGCCTCCCAAAGTGGTGAGATTACAAGCATAAGCCACCGCACCCGACTTCTCTCTGTCTCTCTTTAAAAGACAGATCACACGAGTGTCTGCACAGTCCATGACTGTGTCCACAACTTTTGTTCTGGATCTGGGCTGTGGGGATGGAAGGGGGCCAGGGCTCTGATTTGTTCTTAGCAGGGGCTTCTTGATGACCAAGAGTCAGGTCAGAACAACAAGAAGGTGTCAGTGAGGTGCAGAGCTGAGCTGCGGGGTGCCTGTCATGTCTGGGCCCGGTCCCAGCCTGCAGCCAGCGCTGATATGGGGTTTCAGGGAAGATTTTCTGTGCCCAGTATGCCCTGACTTGCTTTCATTTTCCCTTTCATTTTATGAAGAAAGTCAAAGTCCCCATGCCTGGACACTCCAGGGGTGGGGTTGGCGTGCCCTCTACCACCAGCCCAGCTGGAGCTCCCCAGGCGAGGGTTATGTGTGCCCTGACACAGCCCTCGGTGGCTCATCTCCCATTCCAGACCAGACCAGCCAGGCCATGGTCTCAGTTGTGGTGGAGATGCCACAGACGTTTGTCCGGCCCTGCTGGGCAAGCCTAACCCGGATGAGAAACCCGCAGCCTTTCAGGACACGTGTGTGCCCAGGCGGGGCCATGTGCCCCGGTGCACCTGTTCTGGCTGCATCCTGGGTCTGTGGGGCCTGTGTGGTCACAGGTAGACCACACCTGCGACTCCACCCAGTGTGGTGCTTTTTCTGGGGGGGGGGAACAGGGCGTTACCTGTTGTCCCTCACAAGCCACGTGTGTGCCTGACTCATGCATGAGCTCACTGAAAGGAAGGAGTCAGCCACGCAGGCAGATGGCTCAGCCCGCAGACCTGGAGGCCACCCGGATGTTTCTTCCGGTCACACCCTGTAGTGACAGTCACCTAGTGCATCCCCCTTGCCCGCCGACTCCAGACCCACAGGGCTGCTTGCTTCTCCTGGAACATATGAGATTTGTGTCCACCCTGGGACCTTTGTGTGACTGTTCCCTCCTCCTAAGATGCTCCTCTCCCAGATAGCATCAGGGCGGCTGCCTTACCTCATTCTTGCCTCGGCTCAAACGCCACCTCCTGGAGATGTCCCTCACCCCCATCCAAGATGGCAGTCTGCTCCCACCCCACCTGTCGCTGTCCACCTTTATCTTCCTCCCTGGCCGTGTCACCCCTGGACAGTGGCCTTAAATACAAGTAACTGCTTATGGGTCTGTTGACTGTCTCCCATACTGGACAGCAAGTTCCTCGAGGCCCGGGGTCTTGCCTGCTTCATTACAGTGCTGACCCCAGGGCCCAGACACAGGGGGCCTCACATAGGAGCTATTTGCGAAGTGAGTGGGTGCTCGTCGCAAGGGACATTTGTCTCTCTTAGGCTCATGTGTGGATATTGCACGTGGCAGTGTGCTGGTGCCCTGGCAGGGTGGTGTTGCCCTGTGGGTGGTATGCCTGGCGGGGGTTGTGCCCCTTCCCTGGCCCTGCACACTCCCGCAGTCTCCCAGCCAGAGCCTGCTGTGACTGCACCTGGGGGAGGCTGCAGCCTCCTGCTCTGGGCCTTTCCTTCGAATTGACCCTGTGACTCCCGACCCCTGGGCCTTTGCCAAGTTGTTCCTTTTACCTAGACTAGCTGACCTGACACTGTCAAAGGGCTTTAGGTGGCTGTATGTCTTAATCTGCCCAATATGCTACTGTCATTTTTTTTCTTGAGTCTCACTCTGTCACCCAGGCTGGAGTGTAGTGGCAAAATCACAGCTCACTGCAACCTCGACCTCCTATGTTGAGGTGATCCTCCCATCTCAGTTGCCCAGGTAGCTGGAACTACAGGTACATACCACCACACCTGGCTCATTTTTTGATTTTTTTTTTTTTGTAGATACGAGGCCTCACTATGTTGCCCAGGCTGGTCTCGCTCTCCTGGGCTCAAGCAGTCTTCCCACCTCGGCCTCCCAAAGTGCTGGGATTATATAGGGGTGAGCCACCATGCCCGGCTGGAAGTGTGATTTCTTATAACAAAATTCCATTACAACCAAATGATAGAAAGTTAAGTCAAGTGTTGG